AGTTATTATTGTCTGAAGTCTAATTATACTTTACGTAACTACTAACACAAATTAATCAATTAACTACCAAATTAATACACGTGGTTTTTATTTTACACATTCTCCTATAATACAATTTCTAATAACTATATGATTTTTAAATTATCTGCGTATTATCGTTGACATCTCATACCTGTCAAACAATTGCACAGGTAAGAGAACCATTGATTATATTATAAACAAGCCAAAAGAGCAATAAAAAAGAGTTTTCAACCATAGACCAGGTATGCGAGCGTTGTGTGCTAATGGTACATTAGATGGCAATAATAGCTGTATGCTGCATGGAACATTTGCAAGTGAAGATAAGTTGAAGTAATGAAGAACAAATGTACAATTATAAATCGCAAACAGTCTTGAACAACCACATTTGGTTGAATTGGATTTCGACTGAAGGATCCCGATATCGCACCCATTTTATAAAACTGTTCCAAAATTTTATCTTTTTCTTCGAAACGCTTAAAAAGCCACTGTTTCATACCTTCTGAATCCTTGGGAACTTCGCTGCTCGAATATAAACGGTAGAAAAATTTTGTTACACACGGAGGTTTTGTACCGAAAACTATCGCTAAAAGATCCAAGGGCTCACCATTTGGATAACATATCGTAACATCTAATATCCAGCATAGTTTGCTCTCTTCACAAGCTAAAATTCAATAAAACAAAAAGTTTTTAATATTAAATAGTCTTAAGTAGCACAGAATTCTTTTTTATCAGGTTCATTTTATACTATTTATTACGTCAGAAATTTTATTTTAATTATGTACATATTTACTCTTTTTTGATAAAATTTTTAAAACGTCAAGTATACACGAGCTTTTTGCATTTTTTTCTAATTCTTGGTCATGCTATTGGTCTTATTCATGATAGCCACACATAATATTTTAATCTGATAAATTCTTTTTGTCTGATAAAAGACCTTGGCAGCAAAACAAAATATTAATAAATACTAATAAAACTGTCCAGACATCAACAGCATTTTTTTAAAAATAAAAGGATTATCAATTTCAAAAACATTATGAAATGAACTTTGACTACATAGAGCATTGATAAACGTAGACATAAAATTTTTAAGGTACTTTCTTACAAATAAGCAAATTATAACAGTATAAATAACATAAAACTACGAATTAATTAAAAAAATTTAAAATAAATTATTATTAATAGTAAATTACTTAATGTATATTAACCCTTTATACAAAATATAACAATTAGGAATGACTATAGGCATTATATTTTGTTTAACTTAAATGGATTTTATACCTGGCAAATCATCTGCATTATTATTGGCAATTCCTTGAGGACCAACAGTTTTCATAATAACCTCTAAGGCACCAACCCTTGGTAAAGAAACATTTTGTAAAACTGGTAAATTATTTTTAAGAGCATATCTCTGAGATGTCTCTCGCCTTTTCCTTAAAAATCCACCTTCAGGAAATAACACAATCCACTTTCTATGTCTAGGTAGATAGGAATTGATTAAATGGGCAGCTAATGATGTTAATGACTGCTCCCTATTATTCTTCTGTTTATGTTTAATTTAATATTTTATTGTAGATCGAAAGTTACTTTTAAAATTACACTTACATCGGATCCTAAATTACCGTATAAAGTGTAAGTATTTTGCAGTCGCAAGGTTAACTTTTGGGGGGCCCACCTATTTAACTGTCTCTTTCGTCAACATACAATGGCTGTTCACAGTAATATCGGTGAAATATTAAGGCGTTTTGACGCTTTTGTTGCATTTGTTGAAAACAAACCTCATCTGGAAAATGCTTCACCAAACTACCTTAGTAATGTGTTTCGATGTGCAATGTTTATAGAAAATGTTATTGAACATACCAAGACCACTTCAAGTGCTGATTCATTTTCGCATGTACTTTCATTGTGGTATATGAAGAAAAGTGTTCCTTATTATGACCTTACTTATTTTAGCAGAGCTTGTGATCATTATCTAAAAACAATTTTGCAAAATTCTGCCTTGACAAAAGAGAAAATTGACTATGCACTTTGTTTGTATGTTAAACAACTCTCAAAGGAACGTTTTACAAACTTAATTAGTGATTTAATTTTAGAACATAGCTCTTATGATGCACTAGTAGAATATAGCATAGAATTAAATAAGAAAGGACTGCAACATTTGTGATGTAATATTTGAAAAGCAAATAATACATTTTTAATTTTTACTATTTTTAGTTTTATTTTATATATTGCTAAATGGTATGCATTTTAGAAAATTTCATGTGTTATATTTTAGATTGAGTGTTCCAGAAGCAACACCTTTTACTGCAGTTTTAAAGTTTGCAGCTGAAGAATTTAAAGTACCCCCTGCTACTTCAGCTATTATCACAGATGATGGTGTAGGCATAAACCCCCAACAAACTGCTGGTAATATTGTATTTATAAATTACAGTATGTTGAATAATTAATGTAACTTTTTCCTTTTATATGTAGGCAATGTGTTTCTTAAACATGGTTCTGAGCTTCGAATAATTCCAAGAGACAGAGTAGGGAGTAGGCACTAAATACCTTTTTGATTTTAAGAACTAAACTGTTTAAATATAAATAATGATTTTGTAAAAAAGATGAATTTAATTAATTTAAAATAAAGAATTTTTAATAATTATTTGATCGTTATTTCTGGGTAATATAACAGTGAATTTAATACGTTTACTTAAAAAACATGATGCTATAGGAGCCATTTTCATGTACTTTTATCGACCTTAGTCCTATATTTGAATTAAATACACTTATATATTTAAACAGTATACTAAAAAAATTACATTATTTCATAGACAAAAAGAATTCCTCATTTTCGTTAAAAAAACTACACATAATTAACAACTTGTATCTAATAACGAGTACTTATTAAGTTAGCTCTTTTTTTTTTTTTTTAAGTGCATGAGCGTGTGTATGTAAATACATATTTCGGTGGTAATGATGGATTTCTCGCACATCGGTCTAATTTATTCGACTTTATAAGTAAAGTCTTATCAAATAGACCAGGTATGCGAGCGTTGTGTGCTAATAGTACATTAGATGGCAATAATAGCTGTATGCTGCATGGAACATTTGCAAGTGAAGATAAGTTGAAGTAATGAAGAACAAATGTACAATTATAAATCGCAAACAGTCTTGAACAACCACATTTGGTTGAATTGGATTTCGACTGAAGGATCCCGATATCGCACCCATTTTATAAAACTGTTCCAAAATTTTATCTTTTTCTTCGAAACGCTTAAAAAGCCACTGTTTCATACCTTCTGAATCCTTGGGAACTTCGCTGCTCGAATATAAACGGTAGAAAAATTTTGTTACACACGGAGGTTTTGTACCGAAAACTATCGCTAAAAGATCCAAGGGCTCACCATTTGGATAACATATCGTAACATCTAATATCCAGCATAGTTTGCTCTCTTCACAAGCTAAAATTCAATAAAACAAAAAGTTTTTAATATTAAATAGTCTTAAGTAGCACAGAATTCTTTTTTATCAGGTTCATTTTATACTATTTATTACGTCAGAAATTTTATTTTAATTATGTACATATTTACTCTTTTTTGATAAAATTTTTAAAACGTCAAGTATACACGAGCTTTTTGCATTTTTTTCTAATTCTTGGTCATGCTATTGGTCTTATTCATGATAGCCACACATAATATTTTAATCTGATAAATTCTTTTTGTCTGATAAAAGACCTTGGCAGCAAAACAAAATATTAATAAATACTAATAAAACTGTCCAGACATCAACAGCATTTTTTTAAAAATAAAAGGATTATCAATTTCAAAAACATTATGAAATGAACTTTGACTACATAGAGCATTGATAAACGTAGACATAAAATTTTTAAGGTACTTTCTTACAAATAAGCAAATTATAACAGTATAAATAACATAAAACTACGAATTAATTAAAAAAATTTAAAATAAATTATTATTAATAGTAAATTACTTAATGTATATTAACCCTTTATACAAAATATAACAATTAGGAATGACTATAGGCATTATATTTTGTTTAACTTAAATGGATTTTATACCTGGCAAATCATCTGCATTATTATTGGCAATTCCTTGAGGACCAACAGTTTTCATAATAACCTCTAAGGCACCAACCCTTGGTAAAGAAACATTTTGTAAAACTGGTAAATTATTTTTAAGAGCATATCTCTGAGATGTCTCTCGCCTTTTCCTTAAAAATCCACCTTCAGGAAATAACACAATCCACTTTCTATGTCTAGGTAGATAGGAATTGATTAAATGGGCAGCTAATGATGTTAATGACTGCTCCCTATTATTCTTCCCCTTCAAAAATATATCAAGATATATGATGTTCTCCCAGTATATAATAATATATTACACTTACTGCTGCTATAAAAAAGTCTTGATGCATTAAACTAACTACTCCAAAGTTTGTATATTTAAATAACCTTTCCATAATCCACATTAGGTTTGGCAGAACATTCTTTTTTGAGTTGAAACATGCCATTAATAGAGGAACATCTGCAGTTGACTGGTGATTGACAATAACTAATGTTCTTTCTTCCAAACACTCTGTAATGTCATCCCCCATCTCTTCAACTAATAACAATTAAAATTAAGAAAAGTTTCTCAAATTGAAAATTAAAGCTGAAGGTACTTACTATCATATCCTGCACTCCAACTCCACAATGTTACAACTGATAAAAGCCAGTGAAAGAAGTAGCCCTCTATTTTCCAGTAACATTCTGGATGTACTTTTTTTAAAGGGAATAACAAAATCATCCACACAAGGTATGTGGGGATACAATATAAATTATTAGCCAATATAAAACACAGCCTTAGTAATGCTTTTGGTAAATGGTACCAATGCCTGGAAATGTTATAATAATTATGCAATTTGAATTTAAATATAAAGTATAACCTTTAAGTTAATAAATACTGATTAAAAATATAAAATTGATACTCACTCAGTAGAGAACCTGAGGTCCATTTTTTATGATATATAAAAAATCCTATTCAATTGTCAAAAATTAAAATGTACTTTATTAACAAATTTACAATTAGGCATGTATAATTGGAGTTTATATCGATTTCATACATTATCATTTTTGACAAATAGCTCGTCATTCCAATTATAGACAACCATAATTTATCTACTCTTCAAAAATTAAAACGTGCAAGATTTTAAACTTGTGTCTGTTATAGTTATTATTGTCTGAAGTCTAATTATACTTTACGTAACTACTAACACAAATTAATCAATTAACTACCAAATTAATACACGTGGTTTTTATTTTACACATTCTCCTATAATACAATTTCTAATAACTATATGATTTTTAAATTATCTGCGTATTATCGTTGACATCTCATACCTGTCAAACAATTGCACAGGTAAGAGAACCATTGATTATATTATAAACAAGCCAAAAGAGCAATAAAAAAGAGTTTTCAACCACAGATAAACATATACTGAACTACGTAACCGTTCTATTTTTGAAATCAGGACAATTGCAAAATTAAATAAATTAAAGTAATTAAGTAAATAGGCACAGTCTGATTAAATATTGTCAAATAAGATTATTACAATGAGAAGCTTCGCATAAACGTAGGCGTTAATAGTTATAAATTAAAAAATACAGTATGATGAGCTCATATTTCTAAAATAATGGTATACAGGGTGTTAAAACTTTATTACTCTAACTTCTTCAAAATTATATTATCTGCAGTCATGTTTATGATTATAAAATTATGTTATGGCCATGTTATAGCGCCATAAACTCCTTAATCAAATTAATTAAACTGTAGTTAATCCTTTTTACTAATAATTACATTGCTATAAACGGGCAGTGAAGTACATGAACACTAAAAAACTTTAAACATTCATAAAATTTGATAACACAACTTTAGAATATTGCTTCACTCAACAGAAATTAAAGAGTAAAAAAACTTTCATAATATAAAGATCAAATGCAATCAACTACGAGCATTAAAGTTATTAAAAAAATATTTTATTAATTTTATAATACTTTACAATAGTATTAATTAAATTTCATCCCACAATGAGATATTATTAAAATTACTTGAGGGAACGTTGCAATCATCTTCCGAGGACTGTAATGATTCCAGCATTTCAACTAAAAAATAATAATTACAGTATTAATTAGACAAATATAAAAAAGAAAAGTATTACTTTCGAATTCTGAAAACTGGAGTTCGCGTCTTAAATTATATAACGTGTTTATCACATATTTGTATTGGGAATATGATCCCACATATTTCACAATTATATCAGATGCAGAATGAAAATTAAGAATGTGAATTATCTTCAAACTAATCTTAATTACATCATTGTAATATTTATAATCACCTAAAATATATATTAATTAAAATAGAATAAATAAAGAAAAGGTAATATAAACACAATTAAGATTTTTTGCATATCTTTCAATAGAAATAAAAAAAGAGCCCTTTTAATTGCCCCGACAATACACCTTTTTGGCTTCGAACCTAAAATTTATTACCTGTTGGAAAATATCGACTTTTCGGAAATAATTCAACTTTTATAGTATGTAAAAAATTGTGCGTCAAATCAATAAATAATCGGCTTATTGCACTAAGGCAATCGTTGCTGTAACAATAAACATTATTGAATATAAATTATTTCTAATTAATGATGTTTACTAAAACTTACTGTTCGTTTTCTTGATAAAAAGTCCATGAGCTATTAGACTCTAATATATTTGCCAGAGTCTTAATTATGTTAGAATATAAATTCAAATGAGTACCGTCAGAATTTTTTAAAGAAGTGTCTATGAGGATACAATAAATTTGTAAGATGCAAGCGCCTAAATCGTAAGAAAAATATACAAATTAGTTAAAACTTATTAACAAAGAGAATCAAAATTTACCTGAATTGAAATAAGTTATTCCTTCTTTTTGTGGCCCCTTTAGCGTTTTTTCGATTGGCTTCCTACATAATTTGTTAACAAATTCCAAATTTACAGTAGCTTTTACTAGAAAACTTGATATTTTTTCCAAGATTAACAAGTTAGGACGAGAAAATACAATTTCCTTTGTAATATTTACAACTAATTGGTTTCTGAAATAAATAAAAATTAAAATTCAGTTTTCCACAAAAAAGTGCAATTTAATATAATATATTGTATAACATACACTTTATCAAAACTATTTGTAGCAGAAATACTTGTTAGCAGATCTACTGTTGCTAATAATAATCCAGAAAAAAGATGAGTTTTTCTCTAAGAAAAAAAAAGAATAGATTAATATTTGTTAATTGAAATAGCAGATGTTAATTTTGTTACCGTTTTCCCAATAATCATTATCACATGAAGTAATTGGCTGAGAAAATAATTTTCTGTTTCTAAACACTTGTCAGTGTTAAGTTTTAAAGTTTCTTCTAAACATTCAGTATTAATATGTTTATTTTCTAAAATATGGTTCTCAATGTGTTTGTTAAAGGGAATAATTAAAGCAATTAGGGCTACACATTGCCTAAATGAAATACCTATTTCATCTTCAAATATTGGGCTAAAATAAGTCAATTTAATTATATAATTAACAAACATGAAAACAATTTTTTACTCTGCATCCAATAAAGATGCTTTCTGGAAATTACAGGGTAGTTTGTTCTCCAAATACAAATTATCAATCTGTCTAATATCCTTTGTTTGAATATTTGTAGAAACTCCTTCTAAAAAACTATTCAAACTTTCAAGAAAGAAAAATGATAAAGAAAGTATCTACAAAAAAACAACAAATTATTAAATAAACTACTAAAAGTAATAAATAATAACAAAATACCTTTGTTACTACAGATAATTTTTTCTCTAAATTGAATTCTCTTTCAGGACTGTTCAAATAGATGCAAATTTCTTTGCTCAGTTTGGAGAAACATAATTTCTTATCATCTAAATTTAAAACTTCAAAACCAGTGAGATCATTACTTGTATCATCATTGATATGTGGAATTAAATATAACTTCAATGAATTGTTAGTCGTTTTTAAAAAGTAAGTTTCTCTTCCCAGGTATCCAAAATGTCTAAAATTGACTGTATCATGCAGTGGAACACCTAAAATAAGAAATACACATACCTAAATGAAAATATTCAGTTATTAAATTCGATTAATAACTTACCTGTTGGTGCTGTTGAATAAATTGGATCAAAATAGCTGTTAGTTGTAGTTTCTTTTTGAGATGAACTACCTGTCTGTCTTATAATAATAAAAAAAATTACGATTTTATTAACATTTAAGAAGATAGTATGTTACCTTGCTTCTTGATGCTGGATCTGTGTAAATGAAAAAGACAAATCTAATCTGTTTGCTTTACTTATTTCAACAATTTTTTGTTTTAAATTGGCAATTTCAAAGTCCTACAATTAAAGTAGTATGAATTTTAGTATGTCATTGATATGGAGTACAGTGGATGCTTATCCTGACTATAGGACCATTATTATAAACTTTAAATAGACAAAGACATTACTTACTCTAAATTCCAGATCACTCTTAAGTGCATTAATTTTCTGAGTAGAAACATTAATTTTATCAGTCAATTCCTTCTTTTTTTTACTGAACTCTACGTCTAAATTGGTTTTTATTACTTGTAGTTGATGTCTTAGAATGGTGACTTCTCCTTCTTTTGCTTCACATTTCTCTTTTAATATCTTCACCTGTTCACTTGCTTCTTTATTTACGTTATTACTTGTCTTTTGCTGTATTTGTGTAGAACAATAAATATTCCTTGATACTGAAGATTTTTCAAATTCTCCATATGTTGGTAATATACTATTATTGACTGACTAGAAAGATAAAAATGCTATTATTGCTGACGATAAATCATAATTGCAGATAATTGCAGTACTTGTTCACACATCTGTGTAGCCAAGACAAGACAATCATCCAAATCTGAATTGTCCCAGTCATCCTGTTCTAGTCTAGGCTTTTTACATAAATTATTTTCAATGGTTCCACTTCGTTTGGTCATTTTAATTTAAATATTAACGCATGTATTATTTAATTACATGATTTTTTCAAATAAGCAAACACAATTACCGGTTTGGTTAGTTAATTTCCTTTGAGGTTAAATTATCTATGATGTGTCAAAAGCATCAAAGCTTAGTGTGTGAAATTCAATAAATTATATTATTTTGTTAATTATTTAATACAAAGTTAATAGCATTAGGGCATCAAGAGAAATTAGTTTATAATATACCCTATTATTAAATTGTTGTCTTTTTAAGGAAAAGTTTAATTATAATTTTAAATTGATTTCAAATCTGTGGAGTAGAGTGATATTTAAAAATATTCCATAGATAAAAAATTAATAAATTGGTATACGATTGGTACAGTATAATTTAATGACGTGTAATAGTTAATTTAAACTAATTTTATTGTTAAAAATGTTGGAATTATTTACAATATTTACTCGTGGAGGTGTTGTTTTGTGGTGCTTCCAAAACTCTAGTCAAATTCTAAGGGATTCAGTGAATGCCCTAATTATGGGGGTGATATTGCAGGTTTGACTTTCCATATTTTTTGTTAAAATTGTTGTGCATTTATAGATATTGTTAATTTTTGTTTGGAAACTTGGTTTATTCGCATTTATTATTGTAGGAAAGGTCTGTGAACTCCTTTGATCATCAAAACCTTACCATGCAATACAAGCTGGATAATGAATTTGATTTGATTTTTGTTGTTGCCTATCAAAAGATTTTGCAGCTTTCTTATATAGATAAGTTTTTAAACGACATACACTTAGAGTTTCGTGATAAATACAAAAATGAGCTTCTCAATAAAAGCATTTTTCATACATTCAATTTCTCAAACAACTATACTTCTATACTTCAAACGGCAGAGCAATGGGCCAAGAAACAAGCTAAAATTCCTAAGCAAATGAAAACTTTTGAAGAGTCTAATAAATCTAAGAAAACAGTGTCTTCAATGATAGAAAGGAAAGGAGAAGATAAAACAATTAATAGTAAACCACAAAAGAAAAAAGGAGTAAATTTTGCTGAAGGTAATTACATTTTTTAAACATATACCTTTTTATGCTATTTTTTCCATAATATTTTAGTCCCTAAAGAGGATATTCTTTCTGTGAAAGATACTAAAGCAAATGGATTAATAGATGAAAATATTTTGGCTGAAAATCGTCTTAAATTTGCTCAAAAATTCAGTAAGAAAAAGGAGCCTAAGTATGATTTGTAGCTAACAAAATAATGCAAATAATTATTTTTATGTATTTTTTATAGAAAAAGCCCAAAAGCTGAGAAGGAGAAAGAGAAAGCAGGTAAAAAGCCTCGTGTATGGGATTTAGGGGGTTCAACTAAGGACTTGCAAACTTTAGAAAGGACTGTTGACAAGCCAGAAGATATGAAGAGTCATTTCACTCCTGAAACTGAGGTATTAAAATCGTACCGTTTTTAGAGCAAATAATATATTTTTTTTAATAGATTGTTGGTCAAATGAAAGGAACAATTAAAGATTTAGAAGTTGAATCATCCAGTGAAGAGGAAGAAGAAGAACTAGAAGATGTTACTCACCCAAAGAAAACGGAAAAGTCAAAAGGGGGCATGTTTTCATTATTTAAAAGCCTTGTTGGAGCTAAAAATCTAAAAGCTGAGGATATGAAATCTGTTTTGGATAAAATGAAAGACCATTTGATTGCGAAAAATGTAGCTGCTGATATTGCATTAAAATTATGTGATTCTGTTGCATCTAAATTAGAGGGAAAAGTGCTGGGTACCTTCGAAAGTGTTGCTGGCTTAGTCAAAACAACTTTAACTGAATCTCTAGTACAAATATTGAGCCCAAAGAGGCGTATTGACATTCTTCGTGATTGTATCGAAGCTTCACGTCAGGGGCGACCTTATGTTATGGTTTTCTGTGGTGTAAGAAAGTTACATTTTAACAATTTAAACTATCGTTTTATAATCTCTGTTTGATTTTAGGTAAATGGGGTAGGAAAATCTACGAATTTAGCCAAAATATGCTTTTGGTTGATTGAAAACAACATGTCTGTTTTGATAGCTGCTTGTGATACTTTTAGAGCTGGAGCTGTGGAACAGTTAAGGACCCATACAAAACATCTGAATGCTTTACATCCGCCAGAAAGGCACGGAGGCCGACAAATGGTGCAATTATATGAAAAAGGGTATGGTAAAGATGCTGCAGGAATAGCCATGGAGGCAATAAAATTCGCCAAGAACAACAAACTAGATGTTTGCCTTATAGACACAGCAGGACGTATGCAGGTAATAAAAATGCCTTATATTTAATAAAGAACATTAATTTAGTTGTATGCCTATCACATACATATAGCTGTAATGTAGATTCAGGTTGTCAAACAGATAACTGTAAGGCCATGCCACATTTAAAGTAAGGTATTACTGTTAGCAGTAAATATTGCATTTGATAATTATAACATTTAACAGATTTATATTAATTCTTTATTTATTTTCTAAAAGTAGGATTATTACAACTAGATTTGCTTAGGTTCAGTTCCTCCTTTATATATTTATGTTCATGCTTTAAACAAATTCCTTATTTTTATTTTAAAGGATAACGAGCCACTTATGCGAGCTCTTTCGAAATTGATTAAAGTCAATGAACCCGATTTGGTCTTGTTCGTTGGGGAAGCCCTGGTGGGAAATGAAGCTGTTGATCAATTGGTTAAATTCAATCAAGCCCTTGCAGATTATTCTGCAAGTTCAAATCCTCATCAAATTGATGGAATGGTTTTGACAAAATTCGATACAATCGATGATAAGGTAATTGGAATGTATATTTTGGAACAAAATAATATTAAAAACCATTTTTTATCTGATTTTTTAAGGTAGGGGCAGCTATATCTATGACATACATTACAGGACAGCCGATTGTTTTTGTGGGAACAGGACAGACTTATACTGATTTGAAAGCCTTGAATGCTAAAGCTGTGGTCCATTCTTTAATGAAATAAAATGATTTCAATGTATAGTTTTACATGAATTAATGATGTATTTAAAAAATGGTGTTATTAGGTGAAGGAACAATAGCATATTATATTATAAATAAAAATTCCATCTTTCCATGTTGTTAAATTTTTAAATCATAGGGAAATGAATGCCATTTTAGTTTTATGTTATACTATACATTTGCAATTAAAATATATTTTTCTTATTTAATCTTAGTTTTTTATTTTATTACTTATATTTTTTTTATAGATGAACATTTCAAATAACATTCGACTCTGCAAATATGACAAAAATTGCATAAAAAACAGTATTCTATTATTCACAAAGAAAAGAAGGGCCTTTTTTGTACCATTATTCTTTAAAGTTTTACCTTTAACAATTCGAGCTTTATTAAGGAGATCTCTTTAGAGCTTTTCGTATTAAAGTCCAGTCTTCCATAATATCCTGAGGTCTTAACATGTACACAATGTAAGGTCCTGAAACAGTAACTGCTTTACGACGAGATCTGGATCTTGATCTTGAGCCCCATTCTAATCCGTCGCCCCAATTTAATTCGCTATTATGTCTGTCCTCCTCCAGTCGCCTTATAGTGTTCATAAGATCATCATAAAAGTAATCCCAAGCAAGGCTTTTTTCACTCTCAAAGTTTTGTAAAGCAGCTTGCTCCTCAGCCTCAAATTTATTGCGAACGTTATTTAGCCTTAATCGACGTAAAATATCTGTACAATTAATGGTTTTAATTTATCAAAATTTAAAGGAAATGTACCAATTATACCTGCTACTTTTATTCTAATACGCTTATTTTCCTGGAGTTCTTGAAGTGGTCCAAGGTATTCTTGGGAACGACCTTCTTTAACTTCAACTAGCTGGTGATCAACTTGGGCTATACGCTCTCTGTAAAGTTGCTCACGAAGTACGGTAAACTGTCGCTCTAACTCTGATAAATTATCCATGCATTCGTTTCGTCTTTGCTCACATTCGCCTTCGTCCATTTCAGAACTTTCATCGGAATCTGCTTCATCTTCGCTGGATCCATGATCACCACTTGTATTTGTTCGATCAGAGTCTCCACCAGACACATCACCGTCACTTTCTTCTGCACCACCGGAATTGTTTTCTTGCATCTTTATTTGAGGCATTTTTTCCGAATAATTTTAGTTATAACAGCTTACTTGAGAAAACGTTTTTTATTTAATACAGTTACGAAAATATCGCAACATATTATAAGGTTAGGTAGATGAATTAATAAAGGTTATGTTTATTGTTTACATATTTTAAAAGAAATGTACGTACAGGGTGATACAAATTTAGGTACCACAATTTTTATTTTTTCTTTAAATAAAGTTTCAATGTATTAATCAGAGTCGACACATATAATAACAAATTATATATCCTCAAAGATTGTTTATTAACTGCAAGAAAAATGAAATACAGGGCAAATTTAGGACATAAAATATTTAATATTATATTTACACAACTAATAAAAATATTATTTAACATTGACGATAACATTATTATTACAAAATAATATTTTTTCAGAATTTATGAAACAACGATAGTAGGAAACTAAATATTTGTTTAAGGCAAAGATTTGATAGTGGGTAGTATGGTGTTATTACCTTAAACTAAATTGAATTTCATTTTTTCATTACTTTTGTTATCACTATTAATTAACTATTCGTTTCAAAAAATAAATATTTCGTTTATAATGTTATAACTGGAAAATTGGAATTCTCTTTCAAAAATATCTAGTCTAGTTTCTTATTTACACCTAATATTAGGTGCAATTATTGATTACAAAAGAAACAATTTTAGCAATAAAAAAATGAAACTTCATTTAATTTAGAACTCACCATACTTTTTTGGAAATGACCTTTGATATCTTAAGTATGTAATTTGATAATATACAAAATATTTACAATTCCTATGTATGAATTTATTTTAAGTATTTGAAAAGTTGTCTAACTTTGCTATAAGTCTTTCAATCATATCTGCATCAACCAGTCCAATAAACTTATCTACAACTAATCCATCTCTAACAGCAATTACTGCTGGAACAGCTTTTACTTCAAATGTATGAACTAATTCTGCATTATTTTCTACATCAATTACAGCCAAATCAATGTTTTCTTTAGGTCCAATTAATTCTTCCATTTTAGGAGTCAATATATGACATGGCTCACACCATTCAGCATGAAAATTTACAATAACAGGCTTACTTGAACGCATAACTTTTGAGAGAAAATCGTCATTATTGTTAATTGTAACGATTTTACTAAATGTTGATGAACATGACAACATACGTTGTTGTAAAAATTCAAATATTAGCTGCCTCTTATTTATAATGCCTTTAACACTATGTAAACATTTTTGAGATATGACACACTTTAAATAGCCCATCTCAAAAACGAACGTTGGTCTTAATTGATGCTTGTTTAAGTTTATTGGTCTACTATGAAGCTTCGACTACCTGCACTGAATAAATCTTGTAACCTTTAAAAGCCGAAAAATTAGATTAGAAATTAATTATGGAAACCACAAAAACTTACCCGATTAATTAATGGTAAAGCACACTATTTTGATGAATTATTAACTTTATGCACGTAATTAGATTTATGCCATAACCTAATTTTGGAAACCACTCAATTATTGAAACATTAAAAACGGTACTGGCTTAAAAGAAAAACTAAAAATATACCTTAAATTATGTAAATTAAAACAGGGGCATTATTTTTACCTTTTCAATGATTAGCCTTTAATAGAATACTTTTTTATAGTTATTGTTTATACATTCATCAGCAAATTTCCAGTAATAACTGGTAAAAGTTATTGGCACAGAAGACAGATTAACACTGTATAAAGTTTATAAATAAATAAATCACAAAAATGACAATAATATTAATTAGTTAACCTGAAATTCATTTTTTTTTGTCAACAAATTATTATTTGTGATTGCTTATTCATAATTGTAAGCATTTTTATGAATTGAAGACATAGATAATTGAAGGTTTGTTCCATTCATCCATTGTTGTTTCAGTTAAATTTAAAATTTAAATAATAATATGTTTCTTTAATAAATAAAAACAAAATAATACGTGCCTATACGTTTGCTGGTGTCTATATAGTATTAGATTACACAATTATGATCATTTTTATAATTAAAATTTAGATTCATTCTTATCTACAAAATTCTTACTGAGACTGTACTGGAATTATGACTGTATAGTAGTCAACGTTACAGGGCAGTACAGGGATTGTACTGTGTGTGATTGTACTGACGAGCTCTTCTAAGTCAAAATTTTACTGTTTTTTTATGGTTGTCAAATGTTGGAGTTTTCTCAGTATAAAAAATTAAATAAAATTTTCAATCGAAAACTCCGTAATGTCTAAAAGTGGTACTCATTCGATTCCAAAATGGCAAATAGCTTTAGTGGCCGGAGCTGCAGTTGGTGCTGTCTCATTAAGTTACATGATTTACAAAAGCCGGTTTAGTAAGAGCTCGTCAAAAGAAGTCAAGGAAAATGGTAAAATAAAAGATAAGAAAGTAAAGAAAGATGCATCTGAAGAACCAGAAACACCTTTGCAGAAGGTTATTAACTTCAAAGATGAAGGGAATGCGTTATTTAAAAAGGGCAAATATGATGAAGCAATATCTTTTTACACACAAGCGATTTTCCAATGTCCAGAAGGTTTTCCAACTGATTTGGCGACATTTTATCAAAACCGTGCTGCTGCTTATGAACAATTAAAGAAATGGAGTGCTGTTGTTGAAGACACAACCAAAGCTCTTGAATTCAACCCTAAATATGAAAAAGCTTTGTCAAGAAGGGCCAGGGCATTTGAATCTTTAGGAAAACTAGAAGAATGCCTGGATGACATAACAACTGTTTGTTTAATTCAACATTTCCAAAATCAACCTGCCCTTATGATGGCAGACAGAGTTTTGAAAGAATTGGGTAAACAACATGCAATTGAAGCAATCAAGAATAGAAAACCGATGCTTCCATCAAAACACTTTGTTAAAAGTTACTTTATTTCATTTTCTTCTGATCCAGTTTATGAGAAGCTCATGGATAGTTCTACTCCTATTGGAGAGGGAGATGTTAGAGGTTGGTTGATTATTGTAATTTTTTCTTATATTTTTGTCTGTTTTACTGCAAATTCTGAGAGTATTTCTTGTTGTTCAGGTTTTTTGAGGGCTAAGTTGGCATTTGCTACCGAAAATTTCGAGGAAATCATACCTGCCTGTACTGAAGAAATAAATTCCAGTGAATCTGAGTCTGAATATTATCTAGAAGCATTATCTTTACGTGCATCATTCCATTTACTTTGTGCATCACATAAAGAGGCATTTGATGACTTAAAAGCTGCCATAGATACTGTTGATGCTGATGTGAAAATCAAAGTTAATTGTCTCATCAAACGGGCGTCACTTTATATGCAAATGGGGGAAAATGAGAAATGCCTTGAAGACTTTGAAACAGCTGCTGAACTGGGACCTGAAATTTCAGGTAATTTGTATTATCAAAAATTAATTATCATGTTTGTCACTGTTTTGTGCTTATTGTTTTGTAATGGTCTTCTCCTGCATTATTAAAAAAAAAATAAATATTTAATAATGAATGTTAATTGAACTGATTTTTATTCACCAGATGTTTATCATCATCGGGGTCAAGTGAAACTTTTGATGGAAAAAACAACAGACGCAAGGCAAGATTTTGAAAAAGCAGTAACTCTGAATCCCAATTATGCAATTGCTTATGTACAAAAGTGTTACACGGACTACAGATACGCCCTTATGACCCAGGACGTGAATCTTTTGACTCAGTCGTTAGGAAACTTTAGAAGAGCTACAGAGAAGTTCTCAAATTCCTCAGAAGTCTACATTTTGTTTGCTCAAGTCCTGACTGAAAGACAAGAATTTAGTCAAGCTGAGAAATTATATACAAAAGCAGCAGAATTGGATCCCAGCAATGCTACCATTTTGGTGCACAGGGGCCTTTTACAACTTCAAATTGAAGGCAAATTCGAAAAGGCCGTCGAACTGATGAAAGAATCCATAAAACTGGATGAAAAATGCGAGTTTGCCTATGAGACATTAGCAACTGTTGAAGTGCAAAGGTGAATATTAATTGTATTAATTTAAATTACAGAATAAACAAAATTTTATTGTTTTAGGGGTAATCTTTTACTTGCAATTGAATTGTTCGATAAAGCTATTGCCTTGGCTAGGACGGAAATGGAAATGACTCATTTGTTTTCGTTAAGAGATGCCGCAGCATCACAGCTGAGAGTTACAAACAGGTTGAATATTGGACCACAACTCCTGAAGACATAGAAATGTAAAAATTGTTGTAAAATTACTGTACTTATGGATGTGATGCCATGCCCTGTAAAAATACAAATTAATCTGTTAATAAATTGTGTAGCATTTAAAATAAAACAGTTTTGTAAAGTTTAGGGTTTTAGTATTCTTTTTTTCATAAGTAAAATGGCATTTCAAAAGGCAAATTAAGAGTTAATCATTAACAAATAAACAATTAGTGCAGAGTTTGGGTTTTATAGTTTCTATTTTAAATGAAAATATGATAATAAAAGTTATTCTGTGATATATTATACCTGATGACATATGAATTAAATAAAACTAAAGTATAAACAAAAAGTTAAGAAATAGTTGTGATAATGTTAAATTGCAAGTTAATTGTCTAGTTTTTTATTTTTCTATGACAATACATCAAACGTTAATCCAGTGAAGATTAAAATTAACATTAACTTATTCAACTGACCAAAAAGACTGAACTTTTAATCCCCTTAAACTTTAATTAGAAAAGGTTTTTATAAATCAATTTTTCAGTTATTATTAAATTAACAAAAGTTAAACATTAAATATGACAACAGTAATTTATTGTTATTTCTTAATCACTATACCATAAAGTTAAACAGAAGTTAAAATTTAGAAAAGGGTAATTAAAGTTACGGTTAGTAATTATTTAGTAGTTATCAATTTAAATAGTTTCATTAATATTATGTAATTAATATCAATTTATAATCAATAAATTAGTTTATCAGTTTGGTGGTAGATGGCACCAAAATGCTACTTTCAACATTTGTTCCACAATAAGTAAATTATACTGTTGATACCTGTTGTGGCGTACCTGGAAAACAAAACTTTAACTAGAAAACTGATGGTGGCGCTCCAATGCACAAATATTAATTAAAAAGACGCGTTATTCCGAAAATGTTATATACGAAGTGTGACCAAGAAAAATTGTGAATTCATTTAATGTTAAAATTATCAAGCTAAATACAATATTTTTTAAACATAATAAAAAGAAAAAGGTCTTGAAAAAGTTTTATAGATTCAAGTTAATGTTGTTTGTCACAATAATGGCACAGTATATACTTCAAATTAAATATGGTTTTTCGTCTATCTAGGCCCCACAATAAGCAGAATTAGGTAATTAATGTTATAGGTAAAAACATTTGTTGTGCTTGATCTTGACCAAAGTAACTTTTTTTGTAATACACAATGAAGATTTATGATGTAAGTGACTTAAAATCAAGGGGAAAATACTAAAGTAAACAATAAAAGTACATAACTATTATTGAATTAACGTTCTTTACACCAATCGGTGTACCGTACAGTCGGCAAAAGGGTCCGCGAAACAAAATTAAAATGGTCTTTGGGATTCATTAATCAAAATTAAGGAAGCCAACGCGGGCTACCGACTTGACCGTCGTGCCGTAAAAAAATAGATTATGGGAAAAATACCAACTAAAGGCGAAGTTCTTATATACAAACATATATATATATAAGTTATAAGAACCGCAATTCTCTCACATCCTCTTTATAATAACTCGAATTATGGCCTAACACTCCCATATTAATTAAAGGCCTCAAAGAAAAATGCCGACACCTTTCCCATCATCCCGCAAAACTTTTTAAATTAACAAAAATGTAGCGCATGAATTCCTATTTTTCTGGAATAAAATACTAAAAAATAAAGTTCATGCTGGAAGGTTTGGCATTTCTGTTTACCTATTTTGAAATAATTACATAGAAATTAATACAGTTAGATACTCAAACTGTATTAAT